CTTATAAAATAACCAGCGGGCGCTCTCCACACGCCATTGGGCTCGCCGCGCACCCGTGGCCCCCCGCGCCCGCCGCTCTCTTCTCCTCCTCGCCAGATCGGCGCGAGAGATTTAGACGGCGCGCTCCGCCACCGCCCCTGCCCCGCCGAGACGAGACGAGGCGAGACGAACGGTTACGGCCGCGCCCGAAGACGCCCGACGCGTTCGCCCGTCGTTTGTCGCGGGCCGCTTGCGGCGAAGTAACGCCGAGGGCAGGGGTCGGTAAAGACTTTCCAGCAGGGAACGCGTCAATTGAGTCAAAGACTGGGATCCCGAATATTTTATTATTATTCGTTAATCCGAGTATCAGAATTTAAATATTAAATAACTTTTTCTAAACTGGCAGTACATCCATCCTGTGAATTGTCACTGAAGAACAATATAGATTCGAACAATAGGTTATCGTATTGAGGTTGTATGCTGGAGTGTACTGGAAATTAGTGGCATCATACATCTCAGTAATGACAAAATTGTGAAATAATCCATACTCAAATGGCGACCATCTTTAATGCTTAAAGATTCCTAAAATTCTTCACGTGAACTCAATTCCATCGCATAAGACTTCTTACGAGCACGAAGTTCAAACAACGTTACGTTTCCGTTACGTAAAGGGTTGGGCATTCCTCTGTACAGTATTCAACGAAAATGTCACATAGTATCAGGCCCATTTTTGGTCGTAAGAGATTAACACAACTTCCGTACACATGGTCTGCGAAAATCTGAACTATTTCCATCCAGAAGGTACCCAGATACTTTACTAACTTTGACACTGATGAATCCCTTCACCAGATTCTGGTATGTCATTATTTATATTACAAAGACTATTTTTTCTATTTAATATGAAACATTTAATGCTCTTCCCAACTTAAGATGAAATTTTATAGCAATTCCATTATTTTAATGACGTATTGCAAGTTATATATACGAAGCTTGAAATCCGTGGGCAAACTATTTCTTTTCGCAAGCCAGGAACGCATTTTGCCCAGCCCTGGTAAGAAGTCAGGAGGGTTGCGTTCCCCAGGGGAGAGTGGAAGGAAAGAGGCGGAAGGCGCAACCGCAATGCTTCGTCTCTTCCCTTAATTATTATCAATCGCGAGAAACAATAGAACCTCGACGTTATTTACGCCTCGAACGGGCCGAGAACTACAAGAAGACGGCAGAAGAATAGCGGAGGTCGAAGAGCACCAGAGAAACAGAAAGCAGGAAGTTGAAGTGAAATAGGGAAACGGAGAAATAAATGCGGAAAAAGGAAATGAGGCGTGGTAAAAAGATGCGGACGAGTGGAGAGGAAATTGCTCTCGAGAAGGAGGAGGACGGGATAAGGAAGTGGTGAAATGAGGGACAACCACAGAAATGTCCGCGGGAGGTGGAAGGTGGAAAGTTTCTATTTTAAAATTCTTGTCATTCGAATTACTCACAAACGTGCTGAACGGTGTACATGGTTTTCTCGTGATTTCTCGGGTACCCACCTGAAACAATAAGAAAAATATGAAACTCACAATGCTTATTAGAACATGCAATGCGACATTATAGCAGCAGCTAATTATAAAATATCATGAACATGGGATAAATATTTTTAGTTTTTATTATTAGAGTCGTGGTGACAATAATTCACTAAATTGATAACATTTTTTATTTTTCAATATAACATAAGTCTCCTAGTATGACTTAATTACTAACAAAATAATATGCTATATAATATTTCATTTAAAGTTGCCTGTGGTGCTTAAAGAATTTAACGATCTGTGTGCGAGTTTAACTTTTAAATGGCTCTTTCTTATACAGATTGGTAACTTTTAAAACCTTGCAAGGAAGAATTTCATCAATTGTTGGGATGCCGTGATTAAACAATGCATTTTGTCCTTATGAATAGAATGATCACCCAGACAACAACACTGTTTATGAGTTGTTATAATAAACTTCTACGTGGTTTCAATGCTTACAGAAAAGTGTTTTATCTTTTCCGGTAACATAATGTTATAAAAACTTTTAAAGTTTTACAAAGAAGTCATTGTTATTATCATTTTCTTCACGCTTCTTTTTATCCTGTTTTCAGGGTTAACTAAAACCAGAATGTGAAAATCTGGAAGAAACAAAGAAACATTTGCTAATAATTATGAAAATCTTTGAAATCTCAGAGAAAATTTGAATTACTCTTTGACTATTCTATTGAATTCACAATTTGAGAATAAAAACGAAATCAATTCTTGGGTCGCGAATAGGCGAATAATGGGAAACTAAGTTCATGACAAACGAATAAAAACGAAGGTCACGCAAAACATCGCAAGATTTATATTTTAAGCACGATTTTAGAATATCCTACTATTGCATGAAAAATCGCTTTTAATTTTACTCTCCATGGAATGCATGTTGTAAGCAAATAAATAAGTAAATAAATAATTATTACAAATCTGTTTTCAGTATATTTAAAGAAAAATGAAGCAGAAATGAGGCTAGTTACTGACTCACACATCATGTATCAGCATCTTCTCTCACATGTAAGTACAGAAACATTTGATGGGCCATGTAATTTTCCTTAATTTCTCTCGTAAATACACAATGCCGATTTTATTTGCACGAAAAATTTCCTATGCTAATCAAATCCTAAACCCATTCGTAAGAAAAAAGAGAAAAAATAAAAAATAGTACAGTTGGTAATTTACAATCCAATCCGAAGAGCACAAAAACACTAGTTCCCAATTTCGTTCTGCAACGTACGTAATAAATATTGAAACCCGAAGCGGATACCAAGTACAAACACTAAGTGAACACGGTGCAAACACAACACACTTACCACAAGGCACACGGAAACCCCGAAACAAACATTGAAACACAGAGCATAATAAATAACGGCATACTAGCGACGGATGATACATCGCACTTCATCATAAGCGCGCAATAATAATAAGTGGGCTAATATATCCACCTCCGTTGCATACCGCCCGCATTTTCAAAGCAAGCAAACTCTCTCTATCGGGGGCTTTCGTTCCTGGAAGCTGCATTTGAAAACAGAGGCAGCTAAGCAGAACAAGTCCATTCTAATACAGTATACCATAGTGCATTAAAAATTTCAAAATTTTAAAGCAAAAAGGTTTATCAAAAGGTAACGGAAACATTTATTATTATTATTCTTATTATTATTCTTATTATTATTATTTTAAGTTATATTTTAAATGAGATATTAACTGCGCAATAAAAAAATTAACAATAGAACATATTTAATAGAAGAGGTAAAATAAAAGTGAACATCTAGAATTTGTAATTTATTAAACAATAATGCAAATGTTAAACGACCTTCCCAATAGCGAACTTTGCTGTTTCTGTAATGAATATGTAAAGAGAGTCGGCCGCAAACGCGCGTCTCCACAAATGCAATTCTCACAACAATCGGTGGGCGAGTGCATCCATCTCGCAGCTCTAAATTCCGCGCGCTTTAAAAGTAAGTAAACCCACTTCGAGCGCGGCGCGTGAAACATTCATCTCCCGCGGCATGCATTTTGGAGCAGCGGCGCCCGGCCGCATCAGCGTCTTCTCGCTGCAGAAAATCCGCCACGAGGAAACCCGCACGCGCCCTCCGCCGCACCGCACTCGCACTTCCCACGCGCCGCCGCTGCACTCATCACGTCCCTCTTCCCGCCACGTCCCTCTCACTTCCCACGCGCCGCCGCTGCACTCATCACGTCCCTCTCACTTCCCACGCGCCGCCGCTGCACTCATCACGTCCCTCTTCCCGCCATGTCCCTCTTCCCGCCACGTCCCTCTTCCCGTCACGTCCCTCTCACTTCGATGGTCAGCGTTTCTCGGTCAGAAAAAATCTGTTTCTCTCCGCCAAGCAGCGGCCTCCGCCGAACTTACCTGTCACATCCCCAAACGCTACCTCCACTACTCACGCCCGGCTCTGACGCCTTCCCCACCGTGTAACAAAACGACGTTATGCTCTGCATACCATACCTGCGAAGTCTTCTCCTGCCATTTTCTTTTGTCAGTTTTTAGTTTCAAACCGGGCTACTCATCTTACTATCCTGTTACTTCCCGCAATTCCATTCCCATGTAGTGGCACCAATCTTCTTTCTAACCTCACTAAACGAGTCATTATACTCGTCACTACCCTCACAATCCCTGCTGTGCAATTTCCCATCATAACACATACGATTGATGTCCTCGCCATGTCATTCCCACCATCGTCCGCCATGTTCTTAACGTCATGCCATTCCCGTTTATGACACACACTGCCATCCCACCAAGCCATTCTCCCATCTCATCCCACCTACTCCCATGACACGCTTCAGTAATAACTCTTCACAGTGTTACCTTTCTTTATTATTCCCTCCATGCAATTTCCCA